ACTCTACCGCTGAGTCACAACCCCAGCCCCTGAAATAGCAAATTTTATGTTGTATATCTTCACCACAATTAAAAAAAAAATACGTACTATACTAAAAGCTGTTGAACTGTATACTTTACATAGGTGAATTATATCTCATTAAAAGCATTAAAGAGACAGAGTTGCTCCTAAATTCAGCCCCCTCCCTCGCAAAGGCCGCTTGAAGGGTAGGATGGGAGCAGAGGGGAGGTGTGCAGAGGGCACCTCTCCCTGCCCCAGCCTTGCCTGCACAGCACCTCTGCAGGCAGAGCCCGGGCTCTGTCTGCCTGCACAGCTCTAGGCTGCTTCTGTGCTGAACACAGCCTCCCCTCCAAAGCCAATTTTCTGCACAGTGAAAATGTTTTCTCTGTGCCCACTTGAGCAGATGGCCCCCCACCTTGGCCTGAATTGAGAAGTACAGAAATCAAACAGGGGACAGACGGCTTCCTTGGCAGTGTCTTACAGGCACATAAGCACGCAAACTCACGCCTGCCTCCCCACCCCAGCAGCCAGCTTCCCCCTGGCTACACACTGGGGCTGCCCAGGTGCCGGAGCTGGGCCTCCAAAGACAGCTCCTCTTTGGCCTGCAGAACCCCAGGTGGGCACCTGGCCACCTGGCCCAGGTGCCCGCTGTGGCAGGTGTTCAGGAGCTAGATGAATGCGTGAGGGAGTGTGTTGTGAAGGTCTCAGAGGTGATTTCATCTCCTGCGCCCCCTCCTGTGCTCCCTCCTCTGCCCAGTCCCTGCCCCCTTCCCAGGAGGGAGCTTGATGAATGGAGGGTCCACCCTGGGACCTGTCCGCACCTCACTTGCAATGGTAGCTGAGAACCTTCTGGGCCACCAGTGTATGTGGTAGCAAGGGCAGGGGTCTGGCCTGAAGATTTTGGGAAGGACCACAGAGACCCTGAGTGGAAGGTCTGCAGTGGAAAAGTCTATTGGTGTGGGGACAGGCAGGGGCCAGAATTCCTGTTGTGCGAGGTGGGAGACAGGTTGACCAGGGAGGGTCAGGTGACCTCTGCCCAGGGAGGGTCAGATGACCTCTGCAGAGCGACACTACTGGCATCCATGGGCTGAGGAGGCCAGGCCGTAGACTCCAGGGAGAGCCTAGTGGGCCATGGAGACTATCTAAGCCAGGGCTGTGGGGGGCCAACTGCTTCCCACTTCCCCAGGTGACCAGGTCAGTCTCAGGAAATGCAAGTGTCCTCCTTGAAGGCACCAAGGGACAAAATGATTTCCAGGCCTTAAGAATCCTACTGTTTGGTTAGGGTGTGTGGCTCAGAGGTACGCCTGAGGCCCTAGTTCAACCCCCAGCACCTCAAAAACCGTAGAATTCCACTCTTAGAAACATTTGTCGGCTGGGGATGTGGCTCAAGCGGTAGTGCGCTCGCCCGGCATGCGTGCGGCCCGGGTTCGATCCTCAGCACCACATACAAACAAAGATGTTGTGTCCGCCGAGAATTGAAAAATAAATATTAAAAAAAAATTCTTTAAAAAAAAAAAAGAAACATTTGTCTATATACCCAACATGAGGGGACTGTGTCACCAGTGGGCGCAGAGGGAGTCTGTGGCATTTCCAGGGACTAAGCAGGTGGGCTGGGCCTTGACAGCTTGGGAGAGGAGACACTTCCTGTGCCTGGGGTGGGGCGGCTCATCTGGAGAAGTCAAGCCTGCAGGAACTCACCTGAGCACGGGAGGTGGGCCCAGAGCACTCACCCCTCAGCCAATGGAGCATGTTTGTTTCCCTCAGCAAGGGAGGGGGATGCTGGGACAAGCCCCCTGGCCACTTTAAGGAGAGGACATGGGACAGAGCAGGTCAGGACTCCTCCCGGGATGCTCTGTGGGGGAGGGCTGACTTCGAGGGAGGAGGACCTGCCTGACAGGGAGGCAACCTCCCTCCTTCACACCCCTCCAAGCTCAGCTCCTGAGTCCTGGCCAGGGAATACCAGGCATCCAGCAAACCTCTGAACAGGGCGAGCAAGAAACCAGAGCGGTGGTTCCTTCTGCTAACCCAGCATGTCATTGGGGGGTGGGGGTGGGGCAACGAAGCTACCGGGCTCCAGGCTTACTGACCCCAGATTGTAAGTGTCTGGGATCTCTAGTATGCCAGTTTCCAGAAGCACCGAAGACTTAGTGTTGGGTGCAAGGCTCTGTGTGGGGCAGGAGACACAAACCAGAGCAGGACATGCAAGGCTCTGGCACCCACAGGGGCTGTTTCCAGCCAACCCCAGACACTCTAGGACTGGCTCTAGGCTCCTCTGTGGCCCCCTGGGGGGCCCTCCTAAGTGGTGGTGGGGAAAACAGTCCTTGAGAGCTGGCCAGGAGCTGAGAACTGGAGAAGGTGACACTGACCAGATTCCCTGGGATGCTGGAGTCCAGGAGCTGCAGCCAGGCTCTCCCACAGCCCACCTTCAGGAAGACCCCCATCATAGTTCATGTTTTGTTACTAAAACAAAATATCTGGGGCAGGCTAACTTAACATGGCAAAGAGGTTTAGTTAGCTGACATTTTTGGAGACTGAAAGTCCAAAATCAGACAGCCCGAGTGTTAGCCCTTGGTGAGGACCTCCTGGTGGAGGGCCCGTGTGAGAGAGAAAGTCACATCAGCAAACAGGAAGTCATCTGTGGCATGCCCCCAGTGAACTAAGGACATCCCCCTAGGTCCCTCCTCTTGAAGTCCCCCTCCGGACTTGGCCATGCTGCACACCAACCCTCCAGCAGGGAACCTGTGGATCACTCAGGTCATCAAATCCATCACACCTTCCAGCCTGGCAGCCTGGAAATGCGGCCTCCTCTGGGACTTCAGCATTCCAGGTTGGGGGCAGGGTATCAGTGATGATAACCCTGAGAGGAATCTGGGGTCCTGGTGGCAGGGGGAGGGGAGGCCTCACACTGCATCCTGTTTTCACAGCCCTGCAAGGTAAGTCCTGGCAGCCCCCCGTGACGCGTGAGGCCCCTGTGGTTCAGCCAGGCTCCGTGGGTGAGAGCACCGAGCTGGGCATCTGTAACCTTGGGTCCCAGTTCCAGCACCTGAGCAGTCGAGCTGCCCAGCTCTGAACAGGCTGCACACGCTCTCGCAGCCTCGGTACTCTGAAAAGTGGGGCAGTGGGATTAGATGGCCCTCGAGGCTGTCCCGACACAGACCTTCTCCAGGTCTCAGATGCAGCATCTTTTCTGCCAGAGAAGAGCTAGAGGCACCCGACGGTCTGACAGGCTGGCCCTGCCCTGGTGCGACTTGATGAGACTGGATGACTGGGGGCAGCGTGGTCACCCGCTGTCTTCAAATGTGTGGACAAATGGGGGGACCCTGCAGCTGAGTGTACTGAGCACAGTAAAAGAGAGAAAAGGTAGAAATGTGAGCAAGAGCTTGCCGATAGGTCTGTCTGAAAACGTGTACCGTCTCTGTAGGTAGTGAGCCCCATCACCCCAAGTGTGGAAGCTGAGAACGGTCCTATGTATCCAAGAGGCTTCCAAGACCCTTCGACTCTGGAATCCTGTGCCCATGTCCCTGTGCCCAGACACGGAAGCCTGCACAGCTGCAGGGCCTGGCATCTTCCTTCCCAGCAGCTGCTTCTAGCGCGAGCTCCGAATGCGAGTCAAGATACCCAGTCTGGAATGAGCTCCCACAGGAGGCTAGAGACCCAAGTGTGAAGCAGCTCACTAGCTGTTCCCTTTCCTGAGTGGGAAGCAGGAGCTCTTGGAGCCAGCACGTGGGACCCACCCACCCACCGTGGTGGCCCTGGAGGGAAGGGGCAGGAGTCCCCTGCTCAGTGGGGCTGCTCTCTGCCAACCAGGCTCCTGAGTGTGAGGAGGAGGACCCGCCTGCCTTGCTACACCTCCCACCACCTTGCCAGGCAACAGGACTCCTTCACACCCCCCCAACCAAACCCAGTTCCTGGCCAAGGAACACCAGGCATCCGGCAGAAAACTGCCCCCCACCCAATCCTGCAGGGCCAGCAAGACACCAGAGCCCCTGGCTCCTTCTGCAACCCAGCCTGTCTGCTGTGCTTGTGCGAGGGTGTATGTATGGTGTGTGTGCTGGGGGACCAAGCAAGCAGGCAGGCTAGTTTGGCTCCATGTTCCCTGGCCCCAGCTTGTAAGTGTCCTGGGGTCTCTAACACCAGGGCTCTCAGATCCTCAGCACTGTGTTCTTTGGAAGGGAGCAGCTCACAAGCTTTATGTACATCCAGAGCTTGGTCAAGAAAGCAAGGACTTCCCCAGGCCCAGGGCCCCCAAGGTATCCACTCTCTTTGTTATGTGGATGCGGGGACATCCTCCATTTGAGTGCAGAAAAGTGGCCCAGAACTCCAGAGTAGGGGGTGTGGGGCATATGTCAGCAGGATGTGGCAAAGGAGAGTGGCCAGGGTTGCCTGGGAACATGAAGCCCAGGCCTAGCAGGGAACAGAGCTGCTGGGGAGCCCAGAACCGGGAATGACTCCTCATCCCAGGGCTAGTGTGATCTCCCCAAGTTGGGAAATCACTTCACCTCTCTCTGCCTCAGTGTCAGCGGCCCTTGGGAAATGAGGACCCCCCCACCCCAGAACCCCAGGGGTTTCTGGAGCTGTTGAGGGACACAGTATAATGCAAACCCAAGTTCCTTACAGGTGAAGGTCACCTGCACCCTGCAGGTGAGGAAGGTGAGCCCAGGGATGTGGCCAGGCAGGTTGATGACATTGGCAAGTTCTAGAAAACATACAGTCCAAGGAGACCACAGTCTTTCTTCACTCTTTACTGTGTAAAAATAAACTCAACAATTCATGTCATTTCAGCATGAAAAGAAAAAAAAAAAGCAAGAATACCAGTAGAAATAGTGCATTTCTAGAATTGCTGATGGGAGGTGGCAGGTCCCATGGTTTTGACCCATTTGATACCCAAAAGGCTGCAAATTGTATGAAAAATGTACAGCTTTGGTTAGCAAATAATGAAAAAGTAAGATACATCGATTCTCTTTCATATTTTACATTATATACATTATGACAATATCAACTTCAGGGGGTTTGCTTTTATTTTATTTTTTTGGCAAATAAGACAAAATTGGGACTCTCAGTATTGGGCTTTTTTCTCAATGACTTGTTCCCTTTTAACAAATTGCACTGCACTTAAGTCCACTGTGCACAGAAGCGAGACATTTCCCAATGTTATTTGAATAAATCTCCACACTGTGTTTTAAGAGATGATACCACAACTGCTTCGAGCCATGTTTTAGTTGCCACAGGCTTTCAAAGGAGTCGATCCTCTTAATGTTGACACTACATAACCCTAGCTGCTTCTATCGAGGTTAGAACTGATATTCAAGTCCTCAATTTGTTCTATTTGACCAGTAAGCTCCAAGACAAAGGTCCCACCATTAATGACTTTTTTGACCTCCTGTCCCCAACATGCCTTCGAGATCAGGTGGCCTGCCTTGGAACTCACTGGAATGACCGTGAACCTCAGGCCTGCACTCCCTCCCCTCACTGCCCACAAGACACCCCCTTGGTCTCAGGTCCCAGGGCTGGTGACAAAGTGAATTTTGCAGTCTTAGAAAATAAACTGGGAATCTACAAAAGGAAAAGAAAGCATACAAAATGTATCTCTTTCTTCCAAAATACACGCTTTCAGTCCTACATTTTGGTGGAGCCTGAAAGTGTTTTCCAGGGAGATATAGGTTGAGATAATTTATAGGTTTGCCCTATTCTTTCATAAAAATACTCTTGTTTGGTAATAAACTTTTTCTTCTACAGTAAGAGAAATAATACTGTGTTATCAAAAGCAAGAAGGCTTACGATTCAAGTGGGATCTCAGCCCCCGAGGGCCCGGGGGCCTCCTTCGGTAGCGGTCCCACCCGGACACCCAGGGAGCTGTCGGACACCAGCTGGGCAAAAGCAAACACTGTGCCGACAGTGCTTTTTATCTTCTTATTTTATAAAATGGCTTACCTGAGAGGCTTGTAGAATTCAGTGCAAGAGGGAACATCAGTCAGATCAAGGAGGCAATGGGGCTGTGGACTGGATTTGCGGCTGTGTCATCTACCTTTCTCGGGGCCAGCAAAGTGCCAAGTGTGAACACAGTGAGGGAGTCAAGGGGCTTGGCACTGACTCCAGTGAGGGCCGGGCGGGAGCTAAATATCCGTGTCTGGCACCATGGGTGCATCAAGGGAGCGGGAAGGGAAGGGAAGGGAGGTGTCTGGAGGCTGGAGGGACAGAGGTGTGAGTTGGGATGCTCTGCCCTCTCTAGCTAGGGCAGAGGATGGCTTGTGGTCCTGGACGGACAGCTCCCACCTTGCCCACTGTGGGCAGAGGTGGTTTGGGGTCCGGTATTGGCAGGGGCAGGGGCTGGTGGAAGGTGCTGGCAGGAGGGCACCTGGTACAGCCGGCTCTGGGCCTTGCCCACGCGGGGCTCCCAGGCGGCTGGAGTGAGGGTGGGGCTCCATCTGCTCTGGAAAGGTGATTCCAGGCTCTCTTGCTCTCTCCCAACCACGGGTATCATTCAGGCTCGTTCTCAGCCTACATGTTAAAGTTGCTTCTTGGTGTGTTTGGGGGGCGGGGAGGACAGGGGAGCACTGACCTCCCTCTTGACCTCCACTGACACCCCTGCTTGCTTACCCAGCCATTTTCAGTAGCATGGGTGGTCAAAGAACACTGGGTGGCACTCAGCACACAACACAGAACCGGAGAAGTCCATGCAGGCAAGGGAACACACATCGGACCAGGGAGCAAGGAACACGCCACCCGAGGAACATGCAAACAGAGAAGATCCCTGCAGATCCGAGAAAGCCACGACCCGACGGGCACTGAGGAAGCACGAGTATCTAAAAAAAGCCACTGTTGAACAAGAACACACAGGGCGGTGCCGACCCGCACCCTCTCGGCCAGAGTGATGCAGTGCGGAACGGCAGCCGGTACCGTGCAGACACAATGAGCACAGCGACAGAGACACCAACACAGACACACAGATGCACGGGTTTCTGACACACACGGGCCTGCACTGTAGGAGCCAGGTGCCCCTGGAGGGACAGCAGGCAGGGCCTGCTCCTCGGAAGAACGTCTGCAGCTGCAGGCCAGCCAGGGGGTGTGCAGGACTTCTAGACAGACCCGCCCGCCTTTTGCCAGTCAGATTCCTGGAGATGGCCCACCAGCTGGCAGGACAAAGCAGGGGCTCCCCCATCCTGGGCAAGACCTCCTGGATGTTTGCTCTAGGTCACTCACACACAAGCACACACATGTGCGCACACACACACACACACTTTTCTCCCCTCTTCGGAAGGATTAGAAGGGGATGCTTGTGCTGCTTTTCATGGGGAAAAGAAGCCGGAGGCTCTGGGTGAGTCAGGTCTCAGAGTCACAGGCCAGTGGCAGATTGGGGGCTGCTTAAGCCCTGTGAGGAGAGGCTGGCAGGCCCTGCTCTGGCCAGGACGGGCTCCATCTGAGCGGCTCCATCTGAGCCAGCTTATCCAGGCCTGGGGTGCTGGGAGGGGTATGGCTGTCAGAAGTGCCAAGGGAAAGACCTTCTCATGGACCGGCTGGGCTGAGTCTCTGTAGCCTTCTGGGGCTGGGTCTCAGTCAGCACATGGGTTCCTTGTCCAGAGGACACCACTTGAAACCTCTGTCCCCAACTACCAGAGGTGGGGGCCAAAGCACTAGACCTCTGAATCTTGGGGCTCATGGGACACTCCTCTCTCAGGGCCACTTGGGCCCAAGCAGTACAGCCTGGGTGGCTGAAAGGGAGTAACAGGTCCCAGCTCCACAGGATGCAAAGAGGCAGGGAGGCCCAGGAGCGAGGCCCAGTCCTGCGGTAGAGCCACCAAGGGGGCATGCAGGCCAGACCCCCAGGCCCACACTGCCCTCAGGTGAGACAGCAGGGATGCTGACCAGGCAGGGTGAGGGAAGGACTGGAAGGCAATGCCACCCCAGGACAGAAGCCTCCGACCTTCAGAGAGCATTCACTTCTAATATGGAGTAAAAACTCTCTGTAGAAAGGTCCCCCTGGCCTTGAAAAACCATTAAAACACATTTCCTACATCACTAGAGAGCTATGCTGCTCCAAAAGAAGTTTGCAAACGAAGACAGATGTGTGTGCTGGAGAAGCGGCACCAGCCCCAAGGCACACAGGAGCGGACAGAGTTGGCAAATTCAGAGTTCTGACCCATCACGAGGTTTCCCAAAGCCACAAGGAAAGGAGGAAACCAGATATTCATTCTAGAATGAAAGTCGTCCCCAGCTACACACCACACACACACACACACCCCTTCACCGACTTCCGCACTGTCCAGAATGCTGATGTCACCTCTTTCGCTGTGAGTAGGGCACACCTGGGAAACAGTCGGGGCTCCTAGGGAGAAGTGGGGTTCCTTAGGAATGGAGAAGAGCCGGGACTGCTTCGTGTGCATGAGAAGGGCAAAACCAGGCTGTGTGCGCAGGTGTGTGTGCGTGTGCGTGTGCATGTGCAGGGGCCATGGCCTTGATTCATTCCTGGGGAAAGGGAAAGAAGAGACGATGGATCATCACTGCACAAGCAGGGTAGGTGGGTGTGGGGCCGGGGCTCAGCCCTGCCGAAAGCTGTCAGTTGATCTGGCGACAGGCCTCGAATGTCCACTTGGTGGCTCCGCCAAAGATCTCAATGTGGGACTCGGCCCAGGCGATGACATTGCCAGAGAGGGCCTTGGTGCTGCAGGTGGCCAGGTTGTATACTTCCCCTGGGGTCAGCTTGCGGTCCCAGATGTTGAAATGGGCCAGCTCACCCACAAATGCTTGTGTGGCATCAAACCCGCCACCCAGAGTGTCCTTTGGAGAAGAGCAGGGGATGAAGGTTGAGGGTCAGCCAGATGATCAGGGACCAGGTGGAGGGGCCTATCCCTGGGGGATGAGTCTGGGTGTCTGTCTCTCCTATTTGGGGTTGCTCTGTCTGTCCTTGGTACCCTTCTGTTCCCTGGCCCTGAGTCTTCAGCCACACGTCTGTCAATCTCTGAGGGCAGCTCGGGAAAATGACTGGTGGCCACCGCCTCTGCTTTGGTTGGGGATCTCTGCTTGGGGGCCTCTGGACTCTGCCCATCCTGTCCCTCAGCCAGCAAGTGAGGGGTCAGTGGGGCTGTGGACAACTACAGCAACAGAGTCCTGGGGCCCTACTCAGACCACACTCTTGGCCAGCCCCAGCTAACTACACTCCCCCAGGAACAGAAGCCCTGTCTTCTCCACCCCTCCCCCTCCCTCCCAGGTGCCCAAGGGAGGAGAGGAACCACTTCTTGGGAACTAAATTATTCATTGTTAAAAGCAGAATCGGCCTCCCCATGCCAAAGAGAGTCTCACTGCAGCGCTGAGAGGGCTGGATGCAGAGCTGCTCCTGCCCCAGGTCCCTGAAGAAGCCCCCAGGCCGGGGTTGGGCCCAGACCCCAGCACAACTCCTGCCCTCCTACTTCTCCAACTCCCAGGGTGCTTCCCCGCCCCCAGGCTGCAGCTCTCTCCCCTCCCCCACCAGTACCTGCTCCTGGCCCAGCACCAGCACGCCCTGCGGCTTGATGGGGTGGTAGGGTGCCAGGTTCTCGCCATTGCCGCCCTGGGTGCCATCCTGGTAGGCTTCCCAGACCCCATCCCGGGTGGTCCAGGTGACGCAGATGTGGTGCCACTTGCCATCATTGATTACAAAGGGCAGCTTGGCCACCTGGGAAGAAGAACGAGCACACCATGCCATGGCTGAGGACAGCTTTCAGAATTGGTGATCTCACAGGTGCAACTGTGATTTTTTTTTTTTCCCCTCACTTCACTTTCAAAATCCAAATCGAGAGTCTTGACTGAATTCCTGTAGCACCTTCCCCTCTGAACTTCAGCATCCATCAGCCCCACCCATGGGTGGGTCATGGAATCCCATAGGAAACCCAATGCCTTGCCAAGGAGCCCAGAGATGCATCTGGGCACAAACCACCTCACTCCTACGTGCCCTCCTCCCTCTTAGCGGGTCTATAAAACCAGCCCTCGAGGGAGGGCAGCATCCCTAGCAGTTTCCTGTTGCCTCCCCCTGCCAGGCCTCTCCTCTCTTCCCTCACCCCATCTCCAGGTGTTAGTCCTCAGGTCTGCACCCCAGCAGGCCCCTGCAGAGAGCCTGGGGGATGCTAGGAGGGGATGACACTGTGCTTTCAAAACCAGCCTTGGAACAGACTCACACTCCCCCTCTCCACTCCAGGCAGGGGATGGCGCAGCAGACAGAACCTTACAGGCCTCCCACTTGGGGAAATGGAGCCCAGAAAGCACAACCCTCTCTGGGGCACAGCTTCAAGATCAGGGGCCAGAATCTGATTCCCAGCTTTAGCCATTTACTACCACGAAGGACATGAAGATAAAGGGGTTTGAAAGTTGGCAGCTAATTCCCAGGCAAATGAAGGGGACAAGACGGGGAAACGGTCAATAGAGGGAAAGGTCTGCCCTGGAACAGGGAACAGGTGGAACTGGCCTTCTCCTGAGAGTAGGGGGCTGAGTGAGATAGATGTGGACTAAGAAAGGATCTCCAGAGCACCTTGATTCCCCACCCAGGACACCTATGGACCACCAAATATGGAGAAGCCAAGACCGTCTTAGGCCCAACAGCGGAGGAGCCAGGATCACATCAGCAGGATGGATGTCCCCATCACCTCCCCCCATCCCCACACAGGAGGCCTCTGTCTGGAACATTCTGGCTCTCCCTATTCTGGAGCAGAGAGCAGGCGAGGGTACCCCTCCCCACTTCTGTCCTTCACCTTCTGCCTCCCCCAGTTCCACTGGGTAGAAGGGCCACAGCAGCATCTAAGGCCACCCGACAGAGCTGGGGCCTGAAGGCCTCGTCCTGCAGTCCCTACCTTGTCATTGATGAGGATCTCCATGGGGTTGTTGCCCCACTCAATGAGGACTAGCTCATTGGCCTGGCCGGGCACGGCATAGGAGAAGGGCGTGCCCACGCCGGGCGCAGCGCTGGACTTGAGCCACATGCACACGGTGAAGGCGTACATCTCAGGCAGGCTCTTCTTCACCTTAGCGTACATGTAGTTGGTCCGCAGCGGGAATGTGAGCTGGAACTTGTCTCCAGGGCGGTTATCTTTTTGACCTGGGGAGGACAGAACCCAGTCCGACACCTTGACCCAGTGCTTAGCTGGCATCTGAATTGTGTTTGGTCCCCACCAACCCTGTGACGCAGACAGGGCATGGGGCCAGATGGTAAAAAAGCTGACCCAAGGTCTCTGCACTCCAGGCCTGGCTAGCACTCACTTCCACATGGTGCCACCCTGAGGAGGTGGGGTGGAGGGGGAACACAGGCTGGCTGTGGGTATCCGCCCTTGGGCTGCCAGGTGGGCATGGGAAAGGCATGGCCAGCCTTCAGGTCGGTGGGATCCTGTCAACTGACCGAGAAGGTGGCTGCAGGGGAAGGAGGAACGAGGCTAGCTCCCCACAGAACAGCCCCTTTGGGGGCCGACCTGATTCCAGGATGGTGACTGTGCTCAGAACCCCTCACCACTCCTGTCGGTGTCTCTTAACCCTCAAGGAGACAATCAGGCCACAGTTTCCTGCTGCGAATCCTTCCAGGCTCACCCCTGCTGCAGCCAGGCCGTTTCCACAATCCCATTCATCCCTTGGAAGAAAGCACTGTCCCCTCCCCCAGGCTCTTCCAGGGACTCAGACTGGAGCCCTGCTGAGAGGGCAGGGCAGGGCAGGGCAGCAGGAGTGGGCAGCATCCCTGGGGTGGGGGCAGAGTGACTACTTTGAGGATGCCACACAGCTTCCATCCGGCACAGTTTGCAGTCCTTTTAAACTGCCATCAGCTTCCAACCTGCCAGCCATGTCTCCAGGGAATGTCCAAACCCCTCACCCCAATAGACAAACACACCGGGCTATTGGCTATTGCGCTGGGCCTGGTGTGGGACTGACTCTTGACCCAGCCCCCTGAGTACTCACATCAGAGCCCAGGAACACAAGCACCCTGCCATCTCCTGGGTGCCCACCTGTGCTCCTACCCCAGAGCCCAGACCTGGTACCTCAGGCTAAGGGGAACTTCTGGAAGGCATTTGGACAGGACAGCAATCCCCTCCTCCTCTGAGCCAGGTATCTGATAGCAGAGCAGGGCTGGCCCCTTTAAGACAGTGCCCCCCACATACAAGCCCACAGTGGGGAGATCCAGCCCCTGGTGTCTCTCTAGAACGGTTTAATTTCCCAGCATCTCTCCTCCTTCCCTCCCCCTCCCTCCTGAGGTCCCTCTTTCCCCTGATCTGTTTTTCAGTTACATAACGTGCCTTAAGATGGCACTGTTTAAATCCATCGGCACAGTTTGCAGTCCAAGCAGGGTCACGTGGCCCTGCTCCACTCCTAGGTGCCCCCCCACCTTTTTACAACCTTGTTTGATTTCTGCGACTTGGAGGCAGAGCTCATCTGTGCGGGGCTGTGCTTGGGCCAGCCTGAGTTGACTACCTGAGAGCTGCTGAGGTGAACAAGATGCCCAAGCTTGGGTCACTCAGAAAGGAGACAGGAGCATGGCTCTGGGTGGGAGGGGGAACCTGGTGATCCTGAGCGAACATCAGGGGCTCAGGGCAACTGGGAGGAAATGTACCCAAGGCCCAAGTGGGCTAATGCCTCATTCTTTGCTGGTGACAGAGACCAGCAAGAGCCAGATTTTCTTAACCAGGGCCAACCACAGCTGCTGTGCAAAGTTACGGAAGATTAAACAAATCAGACTTGAAAAATTCGGGAGTGTGAGTACAGCTTGATGGGGACAGGTGCACCATGCAATACCTTCCTCTGTTCAGCCTCTTGTCCCTGGAGATGTCTCCGGCCCAGGGTACCAGCAAAGCTAGAGAACAAGCCTGGAAGATCAGAACCTGGGGAGGGGCTTCCGGAGTGGAGGAAGTCGGGGTTACAGGGCTGAACTGGGCTGTGCAGGGGAGTCTGTCTCACCCGGTCCCTGGAGGGAGCCGCGAGCAGGCAGCCTGGCCCCCCTCTTAGCCCTTACCTTTCTCCAGCTCGCTGATCCGCTGGTGCAGGGAGGTCAGGGCGCTCTCGATCTTGACCCTTTCCTCGGTGTCGTTCTTGGGGCCCCCCTTTCCTTCCTCCAATGTGTTCACCCGAGATAGCACCTGCCGCTCCAAGTCATCGATCTTGCTCTGCAGCAGATCCTTGAGGCTGTTGGTCTGGCTGGAGGAATTGAGGCGGCTGTACTGCTGCGGGGGCACAAGGGCAGGGGAAAACCACACCGTTACACGAGGAAGGGAGACCTTGCCAGAGGCCCGCGGCGCGGTCCCCTGCGGGCGACTGCGGGGGCGGCCTGGCGAGGAGCTCCGGCGAGTGGCCGCCCGCGGGTCCCCGCAGGCTCGGCGAGGCGCCGGCCCGGCATAAGCTCGCTACCAAGACCGGAGTGGGGGGTGCCGGGCCGGGTCGGGGACGTAGTGGGGGAGGGCGGGGGGGGGCACAAAACCCGGAGGGGAAACCGCGGCTCACACGGACCTCGAGGTTCTCCAGGCGGGTTTTGAGAGACTGCAAAGTTTGCCCGAGTTGGCTAAGCGTCTCAGCGGCCGGCGTCCGGGACAGGTCGCCCATGGTGTTCTTGCCCGAGCCGGGCTGCTTGCGGCCGCCGCCCGCCCTTGCCTCGCCGGGACCGGAGTCCAGTGTGCTCTGACTCTCGCAGCGGCCCAGCTTGGTGGTCAGTTCGCGGATGGTCTCCTTCTGGCTAAGGATAGTCTCCTTCTGCTGCAGCACGGTCTCGCGAAGCTGCAGCACATTGCTCCGGAGCTCCTCCGCGCCGCCAGCGGCCACGGACGCGGCGCACATGTCGGCGTCCACCGGCACCGAGGTGCAGATGAAGCGCGTCGGCCCAAAATCCTGGGCCCCACTGCCCAGGAGGCAAAGAGCGAGCAGCGCACAGGTGCGCGCGGCGCGGCCGGCCAGCATGGCTGCGGGCACCTGGAGCGCCGGACCCGTTTCGGCTCGGGTGGGGCTCGGCTCCGGCTGGGACCGGGCTCCGGCTGTCGCTCCTCGGGCGGCCCGCGCTCTGGGAGCCGCGTTCCTTGGCCGCACGGTCCACACCGCCGCGCTCTCCGGCCCCCACTGCCGCCTGCGCTGCGGAGCTCGCGCCTTTTATGCTGCCGCGGGAGGGGCCTCGGCGCAGCCGACGTCAGCGGGGGAGGAATCCCGCTTTAATTGTCTGCGGCCCTGGCCCGCCGCGCGGCGGGGGTCGCACGAGAGCGCGGCTGGGGCTGCTTCCTGGCGCCCTCTCCCGCCCCTCCCCGCGCCGCCGCCCCCTCCCACCGCCTCCGCCGGCCCGCCCCCGCCCCTGCCCGCGCCGCTTCCCCGAAGGCTGAGAGAGCCCAGGGACAAGTGGGATATCGGGCCTGGCCTCAAAGATGGGCTACATATGGTGTCCCCCAATCTCCGACGGAACTCCGGGCGGATGAGAGACCACGACAAAGCCAGGAGACAGAACTCGGTTCTGTTCGCTCGGCTTCACTGAGCACCCGCGAAGTCCGGTTCTCTGGTGACCACCCAAGACCTCAAATCCAACATGCCGGGTGAGGTTCAGAAACCACTGAGTCTGGGGACTTCCCACGACACGGTTCCCATCTCTCCTGCTTTTCCCCTCCCCCAGCTCCCAGGCCTTAGGGACCCAATATCGTCCGCCGTGCGGGCGGGGCGTTGGGGACTTCTCCCAAGTGGCCTTCGGGAATCCGAGTCTTTGCTACCACCTGAGCCAACCCAGTTCCGGACAGACGGCGCCCTGGAAGCTGGAGGCGCGAGCGAAGTGGACCCAGCGCGAAGACGGGTCCGCACTCGCGGAGCGCCTTCCCATCGCGGAGGCCCGCGTGCGCTCTGGGCGTGTCGGTGTGTTCCTCTGCCTAGGTTCCCGTGTGTGTCTGTGTGTGCTTGTGGGATTTTTTGTTCCTCGTGCGCCCCAGCTTTTCTCATTTCTTGGGCCCCACGGACAGTGGCAAGCGTCCCAGAGTGGGCAGGGGCGTTACGCCTGTGGAGCTCCGCACGCTGGCCCTTTCCTCACAGACACCCCAGTCAGCCATTCACAGACTCACACCTTTTTTTTTCTGGACAGCGGTCTGGGGCTCAGCTCCCTGGATTCCTGTCCGAGTTCCTAAGCCCAACTGGGGACTAGGGACCAGGGCCGGAGCCGCCGCTCAGACCAGCGTGGGTCAGAGCCAAAAGCTCCTCGGAAATCCACTCGTGCCAGCTCCCCTTGTGTACAGAAGGAAGCAGGCAGGGGGATTCCAAATTGGGTTCGAGGTGACAGGTGGAGCCCGGGCTACAGCCACGGCCTGCTTGGCCCGATGACCGCCCCACTCCTCTCTTCCTTTACTCCGCGAAGCCTTTTATCGCCCTGCAATGGGCCATGCTGGGTCCCCACCTTGGGGCCCCCAGCCCGGAGAGACCCACAGGCAGCTCCCCCGGCAGCTCTGGGACCGGGGGTTCAATGCTTGGGTGGGAGTGGTTATGAGAGACCGCGACCTCCTCCCCTTTCCGCGGCCGTCTCCCATCCCCAACCCCTCGCCCTCCCGCGCCCGCAGCCTGCCTTCCCGATCTCAGACTTTAACCCTCCCGGAGCCGGGGTTGCGAGGCGGCGCGGTCCTTTCACGTCCCGCGCGTCCTCGGACCGCAGCTTCCGGGCGCCAGAGGGACCCCGCGGTCCACTTGCCGCTGTCCTCAGCTCCGTGCGGCGAGGCCTGGCGGGCTTCCCAGCCCCGCGGGTCTCAATACCTACAAAAGGCGCCGAAACCCGCAGCAGCCGAGGGAGGGACTAGCCACGCGCCTCCCCACGCGGGCGTGAGCCTGGAGCGCCTCGGCCTGGGGCGCGAGGGGCGCTGCGCTGCTTTGCGACTTCTGCCCCCAACTCCCAGCCAGAGTCCGGGGCGGGCCTCCCGACTCCCCGACAAGTGTAGCCCGAGGCAGGTCCCGGCCGGGCCCCGCGGCAGGGTGATCCGGCCCCGAGCTCGTGGGCGCGGAAGAGGAGCCCGCCCTTCCCCTGGCTGAGGGCACCACGCAGGCACTCCTGGCCAGGCCTTCCGTCTTGAGCCCAGGAGCGGCCGGGGACCCTGAAGTCTAACGTCAGGAAGGCGACCTCGGCGGCTTGGCACCAGGGCACTGAGGGTCGGGTCACCCCTCCGCAGAGTATGGGATCGGGCGGCACTGGAAGTGGAGGGAGGGCCCGGGGACAGATTCCCGGGACCTCCGAGAAGTGTGAGCCTGGAGGAGAAGGTAGGGTAGCGTCCAAGGGCAGGACGCTTCGGTCCAGCCATCCGCCATTGTGAAGCGTTCTGTCCGCCAGGAGGCGCTCTGCGAAACACCTGCCTAAGCCTTTAAGTCCTTGTTGGCTGGACTCAAGACCCTGGGCAGGTGGAGAGTCCATCCTGTCGTGTTTAGGGTTCCTTCTACCTCCCAGTGTTCTGGAAGTAGCTGGGAGCGGAGGGGGCCAGGGAGTCCAAATGAAGGACCGCCCTGCCCAAAACCCTCAAAAAAAAAAAAAAAAAAAGCAAGAGGCCAGACTATTCAGCGGGATGGCCAGGGCAGAGGCATGCGACACCCAGTTCTCTGTGCCCAGATCCAGGAGGCAAGGCGAGGTGAGGGAGGGGAAGTCATGAACAGGACCTTACACGGAGCTGGGAAGCCAGGCCGACTTGGCTGGTGCAATAGATGTAAATAATCTCAAAAGCACAGGCAATAGTAAATGTAACAAAGTAATGAGGAAGTGATGCATTTTGAGTATTAGTTTAATGTAATTTATTTAATTATAAGTTTATATAATTTAAACGTTAAGATGCTTATTTGTCAATCAGCCTGCAAAATTCCAGAAAATAGAATAATCATCTGGTACCTGTTGGCTCAACACAACACAGGTGGGGGGGACATCTTCTCACTTGGTTCAGAGAAGGCAGACTATAGCCTCAGAGCCCTGACTGGTGGTCAGTGTGGAAAAGGCAGGCATGCATAAGACAGGGAAAATGGGTGGCATTATGAGGATTTCAGTGCCCACCCAGGGTCCTTACCAGGTGGACAGTCAGAGCAGGGGTGTGCCTAAACCCTATCATGCAGCATCTCCAAGGCCTATCCTCCTCTAGGGCCAAGACCATGAGCAGGTCTAGAACCCCCACCTCAATCAGGGAAGGGCTCCCCTTGGGCAGGCAACAGTTGGATGCTGGGAGGGCCTGGGAGAGTGCTGGACAGGGACACCAGTAATCCTTCCTCCTGCTTCTGAGCCCTTCTAGCATCAGGGTCCCCAATGACTTTCAGAATAGCTACCCCTGCAGGGATGAGCCTGGGAGAGGCAAGGGGAGTGGGGAATGGCCAACAGCCCCCTCCCCCTGAAAAGAAGGAGCAGGAGTCCTCACAGATCACTGCTTTGGGACATGGTGCACCCTGGCACAGAGCTGGTGGAAGTGCCTCTGGAGGTCATGCCATGAGCCACCCTTAGATGTGCTGGCATCTTGTTGAGGATGGGGGACAACCTGCAGCCAAGTAAGCAGCTGGTGTTTTCATTTTCCTGTAAGGTTTCGGGTTGTGTCGGGGTCTGCTTTGTTTTTCAGCAACCCCTAGGTGCAAGATATATTCTTTTCTGGATCTGAGAGCAGGTTTCATTGTCTTAAGACTCCTGGTCTTTGCATTCAGCCGCTCACTGTAACAGCTCATTGGGCTTTCCAGGTACCACGGGCACTTCTCTGTGTGGTTAGTGCCTCACACCAGGTGTGGGGGTGTTCAGGCTGTCCTCGGGGCAGAGCAGAGGTGCTGCAGGCTGCCCCACGGGAGCATCACCAGGGACTTCTGACAGCTGAGCCCTCTGGATGCAGCCAGCTCTGACTCCTACCCTTCCTATGTGAGGAGTCCCTGGGGCCTAGGGGATGGGTGTGGGCTGGCTCTGACAGCAGCCATCCTCACAGGGCCTCTGAGTCACAGCCTCAACCCACCTGTGCCTCAGTCACTCGCCTGACAGGCCCCACCCGCCAGCTCTGTGTGACAGAACACAGGACCTGCTCCCTGGCTTGCTCTCCTCTGACCTCAGCATGGACATCCCTGTAGTCATCACCATGTCCTACAAACTCACAGCTGTCCTTTTCCAAAACCCTCTGTCCACATTCATGCATTTAAAAGCATAGACGAGCTACTGTCTTCACTTACAGATGGGGACACTGAGGAAAGCCCAATGTCATACGGGTCCAGTGAGGGTGTAGTGGGGGGGTCAAGCCCGAGCCTGCACACTCTGTGACCACCTGTGCAGACAAGGACCTCAAAGACAGGAGCCCTGAGGGGTGGCAGGGCCTCAGTGCACTCACCCCCAGAGTGCAGGCAGATCAGGCTGCATCTGCAGCCCTGGCGCTCAGAGTTTCTCACTGTCAGCCCTGCAGCTCCACAGGGCTCACCTGTCCATGCCCACTGTGCAAATTCAAGGGAACCTGTGGCAGCTGCAGTCTCAAGCGGCTGGCTCCCTCTCCAGATTCTCTGTACCCATCCCAGCGTTCCCACATGAGGATCTCCTTCCTTCCCAGCCCTTCCTCCTCAGAGCAGCCAGGGCAGCTGCTGGCCCAGTCTGGAAGAGGGCAAGAACTGGATGGTCGCTCTCTGCCCTGCCCTGTCTTTCCATGAATGGGACTGAGCTCTTGATCTATGACTTCTTGTTCCCAGTAAAAAGGAGTTTGCAGGCAAAAAATGGGAAGGCTAGTCTTACTTTTCTCCAAGCAGGGGTTTCATGGTGCCAGGCAGGACCTTGGGCATTTAATACAGTGTACATATTCATAACGTTTGCTTTCAGTTGGGCAAATAGTTCCAGAGCATCTGCTGAGGGGCAGGCCAGTTGCCAGGGCCAGCGGTGAATAAAACACTGGCACCCATTCCTAAGAGGCTCACTCTAGTGGGTGAGACAGGTGTAAATACACCTATAGCAAGATGCGCAGTGCCACAGGGACAGGAGATGCCTAAACCAGTGGCAGCCAGGGCGGGGGTGGGGGTTGCAGGAGTGTCTCCCGATGAAGTGGTGCCAGAGGGGTCTGAGAGTGGCAGGAGGCGGGGAAGGCAGCAGGCACAAGCTATGCAGTGGTGGGGGCTTCAGTGTGTCGAGGGGAAACTGCAAA